TGTTACGTGGCATTGAAAACTTTCCCTAAATCGGATTGGCATACATCACACAAGAGTTGTGTTGGCAACTATTCCCGAATAAAAGAGGATTGTCGACATACTGGTTCATAAGCAGCAAAGCGCCGACGTAATGGCATGGCAGCATTAAGGATTAAAAAGCAGTGATCTTTTGGAAGACTATCACAGCGAAAATTGGAGTCATATAAAACAGAAGCTCTTTGTTAAGAGACGCGTGAACATTTCAAAAAGAAGCTCTTTGTTCAAAGACGAGTGAACATCGAAACAGCAAGGTGGCGTTCCCTAGATTGTGGAGAGTTGTCACAAACAACCGAGGATTGTTTCAAGAGAAGCAATCTTCGTTAGTATTCCCCTGGATGTGGAGTCCTATCAATGCGGATGAGGATTGTTTCAAGAGAAACAAACTTCGATAGTATTTCCTTGGATGTGGTATATTATCAAAGCGGAGGAAGATCATTTCAGGCGAAGCAATCTTCTAATTTGGAAGCAGTTACAGGCGTAGCAGTTTTCTTGCGGGATGGCATTCTCTAGCTTGCAGGAGGTCATCAAAACAATCGGTTACTGACGAGGGTTAAATCGATCGCTACAATCTAACTCTCAATCAAACAATACTTATACGAACACCCTATAACCAAGTACAATGGCAAATAAAGGTTCGGTCCACGAGGAACGAGAGTAATTGCAAATCAATCTTAAACCTAAGCTAGTTCGAAATCAATGGAAAATGGTGTTCTAAAATACTACTAATAAGATGGGATAAACCAGATAAACTAAGACACTAGGGAAGACGGGAATTCACCAAACCATCGGTAACTACGCAACAAGGAATCACAGAGACAAACGGGATATGCAAAGACTATATGTCTGATCAATATCATGAGGTAGGAAGACAACGGGCAATATTAAGCTTGGATTTCTCATGCACTTAACATTACTCGATACATAACCAAACCACATTCAACAATGAAATACTCAATTCACAATCTCTTGTTCAAATCAAAGATATCATGCAATCAAATTCAAGATTCTAGGTTAGCTACTCCTATTATAATGAATTAACATGCAATCGCATATAATCAATTTAATCACAATCCGTTTATCAAAATCAATCCTCAATTACATAGGTTACCTAGGCCGGGTTTCATCCCGAAACCCTAGCTAGGAGACTACTCACACATATTCATAATCAAAGCAATAATGAATTCCAAAAGCATAATAGATATAAAAATGAATTCTGATTAAGGAATAATAAAGCTTGATTAATAAACAAGAATGAATAATACCAATTGTATTGATGCGAATCAATGGAAAAGTTCAGAACTTTGATATCCGTCGTCAATGAATAAAACAAAGAATCTTCACAAATCTTGCTTCAAATCAATCCAAGAAAACTAAAATCGCTAGAATAATCTCTAAGAAAACTAATGAATCTCTAATACTAAGAACGTTCTCCAATAACTCTCTACAAAGGCTCTCAAAAACTATCTCCAAAACTGTCTCCAGAATAATCTCTAATGTTATGCTCTTGTGCCTCTTTCCACCTTCTTTTTCGTTTGTCTATAGACTTCTTCTTCACAAACTCTTCATGTTCCCTTCATAGTATAAGCCATATAGGTAAGTTAATAAAACAATATAAATTTAAACACACTGGATAAGATATTGAAAAAATTACTCACTTGATGTAATTCTCTACATGGTTATCTTGACAATTAAACAACACATAACGATGTGCTAGAGCCATTGTGTCTAAATCAAGAGTGTATGCCTTCCCTTTATTCTTCCCTTTCTTTTCCCTTCCAAGAGGATAACCTGCCTTATGGAATAAAGGTGATTCTTCATTAATTTCATCAGTTTTCTCTTGACTTTTGGTAAACCACTTAGATCGCTTCTTTACACTAGCATTCAAATACCTAGAGCAAAATATCAAGTACTCTTCAGCCAAATAACCTTCTGCTATAAAAGCCTCGGGGCGACATCGGTTTTTAACATATGATTTTAACTTTCCGAGGTATTTTTCTATAGGGTACATCCACCAATCACACACCGGTCCACCACGCTTGATTTCATCAACCAAATGAATCGGTAAGTGGATCATTATGTCAAAAAAAAAGGGTGGAAATATTCTTTCTAGTTCACAAAGAGTCTCAACAATTCCTTCTTGAAGGCGATCCAAATCTTTTGGATTGATGAATCTCTTGCATATTTCCTTAAAAAAGCCACTCAATCTCATAAGAGGTAAAGTACCATGCTTTGGTAAATTTTTCCTAACTGCTGGCGGAAGCAAGTGTTGCATTATTATATGAGCATCATGACTCTTGTACCCTGATATTTTCCCCTCCTTGACTTGTACACACCTTGTAATATTTGATGCACAACCTTGGGGCAGCTTTGCCTTCTTCAAAACACAACAAAATATGCTTTTCTCTTCCTTCGTCATTGAGAATGAAGCTTTGGGCAACAAAACATATCGCTCGTCATCTGCATCCACAGGATGTAGTTCTCCCCTTATACCCATTTCTTGCAGATCTAATCGAGCCTTATGATGATCTTTTCACTTTCCAGGTATGTCTAACAAAGTTGCGAGCACATTATCACAAACGTTTTTTTCAATGTGCATGACATCCAAATGATGACGACACCCACAATCTTTCTAATAAGGCAAAGTGTGGAAGATAGAGGACTTTCTCCAAGGACAATCTTCATATTTCTTCTTTGGTTGTAACTTTCCAAACTTGTTTTCCCAGTTTTCTAACAAGCTTGAAATTTGATCCCCTGTTAAAGGACCTGGAGTTGTCCTATCTTCCTTTTCCCCATTAAACGACACCATATCATGCCGCCAAGGATGATTTTCATCTAACCATCGACGATGAGCCCAATAACAAGATTTGTTACTATTACTCAAGTGATGATGATCAGTCTCGTAGTGACAATAAGGGCATGCAAATTTCCCTTTGGTGCTCCAACCCGATAACATAGCATAACCTGGAAAGTGGCTGGTCGTTGATTGTAAAGCTGCATGCATCTTAAATGTTTGACGTTTCTCCGCATCATAGGTGTCCAACCCATACTCCCACAAATCTATGAGTTCTTGAACCAATGTTTGAAGATAGACATCAATGTCATTTCCAGGAGAGGTGGGCCCGGGAATAAGGAGAGATAGCATTAAGAATTATGGCTTCATGCACAACCATGGTGGTAAGTTATAATTATTTACAACAACAGGCCATGTACTATGTTGTGTGCTCATAGTTCAAAATGGATTGAATCCGTCACTTGCGAGGCCCAAACGAACATTACGTGCCTCAGTAGCAAAATCTAGGTGCTTTTTGTCAAATTCTTTCCATGCCTCACCATATGCAGGATGCCTCAATAACTCATCCTTATTTCTTTATTCATCGTGCCACCTCATTAGCTTTGCTGTTTCTGAACACATGTACAACCTTTGAAGCCTTGGTTTAAGAGGGAAATGCAAAAGAACTTTTTCAGGGACTTGATGCACTTTCTTAGATGGTTGATTGCTAATATCTTCTTGGGATTCAGTATGTGTTTCTTTCCACCTTAGAGCATGACAAACATAGCAAGACGTGGCAGCTTCATGCTCCTTCCAATATAGCATACAATCATTACGACATGCATCAATCTTCTCATAATGATGACCCAGATCTTTTATCAATTTCTTTGCCTCATTAAAAGAGTTAGGCAAATTGGATGCATCTGGTAACACTTCCCGAAAAATCTCTAAAAACTCTGAAATTGCTATATTTGTTAACCCATGAGTACACTTCAAAATGTAAAAACGAATAAGAAATGATAGCTTTGAAAATTTTTTGCACCCAGGATATAACTCTTGTTTTCCATCTTCAACTAACTTATAAAACTTCTTATCATTAGGCTTATTTCCAACACCTTCATACCTTTCTGCCACATCTCTATGAACATCCTATATCAGACGTTCAATATCGTCATGCATGTCTTAAACATCCTTTTTAGTATTTAATGTTGTTGACATGCCCTTTTCATAGCAATGCCATCCTTCAGTGCCAGGCTCGATCCCGTTTGCAATCAAATGATTGAACACTGTCTCTTTACGATGCCAAAAGCGGTGATAGCACGCCTTACACGGGCAAGTAATTTGATCTCCAATTGCTCGTGTTGAGAACTCTTTATCAAAATAATCCTCTACACCTTTCTCATACTCATGACTAGATTGTAAGAAGTTGGTCCAACTACTCATTTCGTCTCCTTTATCAAAATTTAAACATAGTGAATTTAAAGATTTAAAATATATATTGGCATATAATTTTAACATTTATAAAAGGAATGAGAATATCCATGTAAATAAACGCCCATAAATTCAACCTTGTATATATGATAACATTAAAAATCAAACAAATAGGTCCAAATGTATGCTTAGATTAGAAGACTACTATACTTCAGAGAAGAAAACAACTTAATTAAGGAAATGTTATCCCTGTCTTTAGGTTACTATCATCTAAAAAGTGCAAATCGCTTTTTTTTTTTACACAAGGCAGAGGTATACACTTCTTCTCATAGTTCTAGGTAGGCTTATACAATCAGTCAGATCTTCACCAAAGTTCCAGGGATGAATGGGTTTGGACTATGGAGTGAGAATGGAAGATGAAAAGTAGAGAAGATGGGTAGAGGATAAAGAGGTAAAGGGCAAGTTCCACATTGGGGAGGGGTAATAAAACAGAGGGGAACGAGAACTCCAAGAATTTAATAGCGAAATTCAATGGTAAAAACCACCCACCTAACAACGACAAAGGAAAAGAGCATTTTAAACCACCTTCCCCTTTATCGATATCCACAAAACATAGGACCAGGAGAATATGCTAACTTTCTGAAGTATTGTTCTGCCTGAGGAGTAGGAATCTTGTGTATTGTTTTATCTATGAAACTTTCTACCATATTATTTCAAGAAAATAATTTAAAGACAAGCTGCTGCCCCACTTTCATTAGTTAACATATTTAATCAAGGACCTAGGCAAGCCCTTTCATGCTTTGATTATTGATTAAGGAAAGAAAATTTAAAACTGACTAAATCAAATGAAACCATCTAAACTAATTTTATTAATCCAAATTCTAAACTAGCTTTTATAATGACTGAAAACTAACTACTAGCATAATAACTATAAGAATTAAGGGCCAATTACCCCAAGCTAATTTCAATACTACAAAAAGTGGAAAAAGGACCCCTAATTAGAGACCCATTATCTTAACCAACAGGTATGTTTGATGTAAGAGATCCTTTAATAGAGATAACGGGTCTCTTATAAGCCCTTGGGCCCACAAATTTATTGATAGGAGTGAGATAAGAAAGCCATTGTAAGAGCAACGGGTCTCTTACCTTCCTTTTTCACTTCTCAATTATTTATGCGTGTTGTTGTACGCTACCATCCTTTTGCTCAATCTCTCTCCTCTGCATCACTTTGTTTATCACCGACATTCCTTTGCTAATTTTTTTCCTCAAAAACTCATTTCTCATTCACCTCCAATTTATGGCTTCATCTCCTTATTTTCCACCTTCATCAACGACTTCTTCGAGCATATGCATGCTCCTTGTATTTTGAGAAGTCTCAACCTTCAAGATCCCTCTTTGCTTATCCTCCGACGACAGTTTCAAAGTGCTTTAGTGCAATTAGATCTAGATTTAATCATTCAAGGTACAGTTTTTGTGAATTTCACCGAGGTTGTTCGAAATTTATTGTTTTATTCTGGGTTGCTTTAATTTGGGTTAGCGATGGTGGTGGGTAGATATTTTTGGTTTTTTTTTTGTGAGTTGTGTTTTCGTTTGATTTTTGGTTTGTTTTTGTGAGTTGGTTTTTGTTTAATTTTCGATTTTTTTTGGTAATAATGAAAACAGGTTTGTGATTCTTTTTTTACTCTCGAATTCTAATTTTCATTATATTGATTATAATCCTTTTGTTGGATCTATTGAAAGATTATGTGATTGTGCAATTTGTGCTCTAATCATTGAGATAGATCTAGAGTTTTCGAGAAAAGGTCCGAAGATCTATATAAGAAAGGTCCGAAGATCTATATCAGAAAGGTCTGAAGATTGTGTAGTAGAATTTGCAGTTTTTTTTAAAAGTTTTTGCATGGTGGTTGTTTTGATTTTGGATTTTTTCGTGGGTGAGTATGGTTTTATGGGGGTTATTTTGGTTTATCTTTGGATTGCTTTTGGCGGTGAGGCAGTGGCGGAGGCTAGGGTATTTAGGAGGGTTGGGCCGTTAAGGATGGTTTATACTTTATATGGGTGTGGAGGTAGTCTAGTCGTGTTGAATTGTTGGTGTTCTGGTCTTTATCTGATTTTTTGATTTTTTTTAGTTTGAATGTTAAATTAGATTATTGCTCTTTATTTTACTGAATATTAACTTGTTTATAGGCTCTTAATTTAGCAAGCTATATTTTAATTTCATATAACTGCATAACATTTTGCATAATTGTTCCTACTACTGTTATATTATTGGGCATAATTACTCCTAATATTGTTTATATCATTAAACAGGTTATGCTATTGATAATCATGGAAGGAATACAGAGTACAAGATACACTATTAATGTATGGTTGTATGGAGTATATACTTGTAAATTATTCAATAAGCTACCAATTGTAAATTCTAGTAATTATTTTGTAAATTTCAATAATTAATCTATGTTGGTTTGTTTAATTATATATTCAAAGTTTACATTTTATTCAGTCAATTCAATAACGCAATGAAATTCAAATTTCAAAATACTATATATAATAAAACAATCACGAGAATTTTTTTTAAACAAAAAAAAAAGAAGAAAGAGACCTGTTATGTCGCATATGGGGTCTGTTTGATACCCCACCAAAAAGACTCGTTATGTTAGATAACGGGTCTCTTATCCTTCTAAATAATTTTTCAATTTACTAGTCTGACAAACCTGACTTCTTAATGAACGGGTCTGTTATGTTTTTTAAACAGACCCCTCCAAAGAGGCGGTTTGTTTATCTGACAGACCCCTTAGCTAGAGACCCGTTGTTTGGCGGTTTGTAAAGCATTTTTCAACGGGTCTCTTTGCTACTTTTTGTAGTAGTGCATCACACCAAGCCAAGCATATATACATGCATACATATAAAATGAAAAGAATGTTGCAAGCCACATAACTAATGAGAACATTGATTTTAAAAAAAAAACAGCGTATGTCTCAAAAAATTCATTAATATACATATACAAAAAAAAAAAAAAAGAAATTAATTTGCGTGAAACCATGAATAACACCAGGTGCAATTTCAATTGCAATAATATAGAATCCAATCAAAACCAACCCTGTAACTAGATTGTGATGATAATTCACATTAAATTGAATGATTAAATAACCTAAAAATTAAAAAATCCACTGAAAATATAACTAATATACCTTATTGGAAGCGCAAGTTGATGGAACCCCAGATGATGATCGAATTGACGACTGATTTTGTGATGTAATTTGCGAATTGAACTTGAATTACGAGATCGGGTTTTTTGTGATAATGGAAGAACGAAGTTGCTATACTAAGGAATGAACTTGAACCTAGGATTGATTGAGAGAATATTTTTTTTAAAAGTTTCCTTAATTTCTGGCGGTTAAATCTAATGAAGGCCCAATTTTTTTTAAATTATTTTGGCGGTAATCCTAAACCTATACAATAAATTGGTAATTAAATTTGGGGGTTAACACTAACTTTTAATTTATTATATATGTTTAATCACCTTAAAATAATGGAAACCTCTTAGTGTTACCGTAAAATGTTACTTATCTTAAAAGTGTTACTATGGAGTGATACTTATGGTAAAAGTGTTATAATGAGTGTTACATTCTATTAAAGTGTTACCAAAGTGATACTTATTAATATAATATTTTGCATTTCAAGAAGTGTTACCAATTACATGTTACATAAAGTCAGTTATGTACTAGTGTGATTTTTCTTCATGTCCTTTGAAGGTTTCTTCAGAAGCCACTTCTTCACATCATTGGGCAAGGAAGGAGGAACCTTTTGGGTGATCACTTCCCATAGAGGGCTAGCGCTCCAATAAGCGTCAAATTTGTCTACTTCTTGAGAGACAGAAAATTCATAGGGACGACGAAGATCCCTGGAAGAAATTGTTTGCAATAGGTCATACTGTCTTTTTACCCTGCGGGGATAATAAAAAGTCATTCTGGACAAGCTTGGAAGACGGCAGAAAGGTTGCTTGTATACACCAACCATCTTTTCTATTTTCCACTAAGGGATAACCCACTTGATGGTAAAATTGCAAGATCTGAAGACCTTCTTCCATTCAGGGCGCCCCATCTTAGAGAAGCGTTTCTTCCTTCTCACAAAGCAATTTGGAGTGTACTTTCAATATTGTCTAGAGGACTAATTAATTCTAGTCTTTCTATTAGCCATCTGTAAAAGAAAAATCAATGCAAATAAATTAATATTACTATACAAAAATATGTTTTTAATTTATGTAATTAAAAATATTATTTTTCTACCTGTAATAAAATTGGAGAGCCCCGAAAAGGCGCTTTTGGATTCTTCTTTAATTCATCAAGACTAAGCATAGTCTCTCCAACAATTAAAGGCATTGGATTTCTCCGGACTCAATCTGCTCCAAAACAGGTTATATGATTGCTTGACCCTCAGTAGTTCTACCACTAGTGAGAAGATATTGATTAAGCATACAATAAAGAAAAGCCCTTCTTCTATAAACATGAAAAGACTCTGAATACAAAAATAATGGCGAGCAAATTCTTTCAAATTAACTGTGCTACCATCTACTATATTTGTTAGATCTTTGTCTTTTAATTTAAAGAAGCGCTCAAAATCCTTATAATAATATTCATTTATTCTAGGGATTACTACAAGATCTAATGCAGGGAAACCTAAGATAGCACCGAATTCCTCCGGCAAAGGGCTAATTTCATCATACCCTAGTGTAACACAATGAGTATCCACATCCCAATATTCTAGGGCGGTATGAATAAAGTCTACATCAAGATCTACCCCTTTGACACCATAAATACTCCCCATATGAAAAACATCTAACTCTTTTCTCTCCTTGGAAGTTAGAGACCGACACCATTCATGAGTGAAGTTGGTAAAACTTTTAGAGACAAGAGGCATGATTATTATTTTTTCAAAAGCTGAGAATATATTTAATCTGCTGAAATTATGAAGAAAATCGGTTGGGAAGGGGGCTATTTATGCACAAAATCGGCGCAGTTTTAATCTGGAAAGGATTCGGAGTCAGGCGCTCATCAGCGCCAGATGCTAGACATTGGCGTCTGGCAACAAACGCTAAGAGTAGAGCCTGGCGCTAACCTAAAACGCGTGGCGCCAGATGGCGCTGACGTGTCTTATCATATGAGCTTTTTAAAACCATGTTTTTTGCTTGATTCGAGTCTGACCAACGACTTTACGGTGTTTTATTCTTTTAATATCCTTTTTCTAATTAAATTTTTTTCCTTCTTCTTAATTAATAAATCAATCATATTAATTATATTTTATTTAGACCTAACTTTTAAATTTTTATAAATCCAGTATTTTTATTTTATCATTTTTTCATTTGGGGGAGAAAGTCGGATTCCCTCCATCAATAATAAAAATGACGGAATTTTTACGCAAAATTAATTACCAACAATTCTTTGCACACACAAACATGCACATAAAAATGAAAAAATGATAAATAAGTGTTAAAATAAACTCATAGTAATATGTATATACAAACATGTCTAAATAATGAGTCTAAATAAAGACAAAGTTCTATACAAAGTGAAATAAAATAAATAAAAAGCACAGGAATAAACTACGTCGTGGGAGGACGTACACCCATCATCTCATAAAACTGCGCCGTACGAGGAGTAACCTCTCCACCAGCTCCAGCTCCGATCTCCTCGGGAGGTGGAAAACTCAGCACAGGATTTGTCCACCCAAGAACAACCTGAGGCTGAGGCTGCGGAGGCTGCTGCGATGACGAGCCGACCTCGTACGTCTCATCACCTCTAAGAGCCGAGGTAGCCTCTCCCTGGCCTAGCGGCGCAGCATCTGCACCCTCAGGTGAAGAGCCCGAGCCCTCCACCGCCTCGATCCGGGCAGCCTCAAAACGACCAACCCGACCGCCAGAACCAGTACGACGACCTCTCGAACTAGACCTCGCCGGCTCCCTCCGCACCTCAGGTCTTGTACGGGTACGAGAAGGAATGGGCTAACCCTGTAAGAAGAAATTAAGTCAGAAATAAGCAAAAATAGAAGTAGTAATGCAAAAATAAGAAAGGAAACTACCTCCTGAACGGCGTCGTCACAACGACATGTAGCCACATTCCTCATCCGAACGAGCTGGCTCCGGGAGGCATCTATGCACCATGCCATCGTCGTGACCGCCTCGCACGAGAACTATCAATGAAATAAAGTCAGTAATAATGCATAACATATATAGACAAAAGTTGCAAATAAATAAGCTTACCCGAGTCTGGTGACGAGGGATCGACCGCTCCACGAAGCGCTCACCCTTTGGAGCCGGAGGAATCATCTCCTCAATCAGCCCGTATGTCCCCTGATAATGGATGGACATACGAGGTGGCACGAACTCAGTAGGTCTAGCCTAACAAAAGCAAATCGAAGTCAATAAAACATTACTTGGGGGCTACTTAATGAAAGGTAAAAGCTGAAAATCATACCGCCACCTCCTCAGCCAGTATAGGTACTGGAGCTAACAACAGCACTAGCTCCACCTCATAGCACCGCCCAAGAATCGTATAAGATCGCCAATGGGTACCAGCTCTCTCTGACATGCTCACAAACCTCGCGGCATTGAACATGTGACGCGGTGGAGGAGCAGGAACGACAAAAGTGTCCGAGGAATGCCTATCAGATAAGAATCCATCGAAGGTAATGAAAAGTGTTCAAATATATTAAATTACCATACCGAGATGATCCGTTCTCGGACATAAGCAGTGGACATCCCAGAACGGCGGCTTTCCCAGGAAGCGCTCACTGGAAACCTGCGCGGTGACGGTCTCGCCGGCGCAACCGAGGGAAAGTACTCGTAGAACCAGATCTATAAAACGCAAAAAGCATCAGCAAGTGCTAACCAAAGCTTAGAGCTAAACATTAATGGGAGATAAAGTATACCTCTACGACCCTCCAAAAGCCGGATAGAGCGACGTTCCCCGTGAAGGATCGGTGTCAACACGAGTCTCGTAACACTCGAATGAAATCAGCATAGGCCAAGATGGCCCATTCATAAGTCCCGATAAAGTGTAGATCACGGACCGCAGGTAGGTAGTAAAGCAGCACTCTACTACCCTTGTCAGGGGAGAACGACCTTGAAAGAAAAATAAGCACAAAGATGCGCACACACTGCTCTCAGGTGGTCACATCATCATCGAAAGCCGCTGCTAAAGTAGAACGGCGAATCCCATTCGCGTTGAACTTAGTCGACTCCACCTCAGCACGAGCCCAAACAGCAATCGGACCCAACAGCTCCTCGACCTCAGGGGGAAAAGACACTTATCTCGTTGTCAAACGACAACGCAACATAACTAAACTCCAGTCCCGTAATGAGACTGAACTCGGTCGGGGTGACCATCATCTCACCCCAAGGAAAGTGGAAAGTGTTGGTGGTGTCCCAAAAGAACTTTACCAAAGTACGAACCACGTGATGACCCCCGCTAAAGGCAATCATGGCCTCTGAGGTCTCAAAAAGCGCAGC